AATCACCCCCGCTGCCAAACTGCTGTTGAAACGCCACCCGAAACCTCAGAATCTGGATACAAGATGAAGGCTTAAAATGTTACATGTAAAAATCTTTTCTGTTTTCCAGGACCGGCCCGGATGCAAAAAGTCCGCAAAATAGCCGAATATAAGGAAGGGAAACTGAAAACGTCATCGGCGTCATAACTGAACAACATTGTAGAGTCGAGCACCCTGTGAAACTTCAATACGTTTGATGACTTTGATCAGAATATTTCTGCAGTTTGACCGTTTGATTTTCATTAGAATATTAGACTACTTATCGAGAAACTTTTTTTCATTTTTCAAAAATATTTAAAAGTATTTTTCAAAAATAAATATTCAAACGTTATAAATCAGATGGGTTTGGGAGATGTTTTTTATGAGTTTCTGTTCTCACCGTGTCTGCTGATTATTCGAGAGAAACAGTACTTCACTCGGTATTACGGGTTATGTCGACATCTTCTGTTCAAGCATGGTAGTTCCACATGTTTGAATGCTTACTTGAAAGAAGTTATTTCATTAACAGAATACAAAAAAACAACGCGTGATAAAATACTATACAACATATTTACAATATACAGCATGTGATTTTTGGAGGGATTACCACGATAAAAGATAAAATCGAGAGAAAGACATTCGATATGTACAGAGATGAGCTCGTCCTGCATCTATTATTTTGTCATCTTTGGACATTTCGTGTTTATGACAGAGCAACATCTTCTTCTGTACTCTCAAAACTAATTTATGTTTTAGAATACACTGCTATTCTTCGTACAGAATGGCATTAACTTCAACTTTCTAAATTGTCCATCCAGTCTTTTTATAATACCCTTATTTAATTATACTGATTGATATGCACCACATGTTTGTTAATATTCAAACTACTTTCAGATTCTCAGATCGTAAGTTAATTATTCCCTGCAGGCCTGAAACCCAAGACGTGCTTCGATCGTGTTAACGAGGCACATCTCCTGCGTCCTCTTCGCCTGTTAAAACTCAAGAGCGACATCGCCAGATACTCATCTCACCACGCGATGATTTCTCTGAACCTCACTGTGCCGTTAGCGGTGGACTTCAATAAAGCTGAAGATTATTTCATTTTTATAGTCAACCTGCTAGTTGCTACCAGTTCGGTTCTCGTGGCTGGCTCGGTTGTGTTGGGTATTATTTGTAAAAAGTCACTTCGAGATCAAAACAGGTTTATTTTCATGCTGAACACCAGCATAAGCGACACTCTGTCTGGGGTAGGCGGTTACTACATCGGGCTGTTTGATGTTCAGGAGGGTTTTCCTTCCAGAAACGGCACTTATTACATAGTGCCTTCGCTACTGGGAGTCAATATTCTGACAATCTTGTCTGCACAGGTGGACCGATTCCTTGCTGTAGTTTATCCTTTTACTTACAGTCGTTATATAACCAGGACTGTCGTTATAGGAGTTTGTGTTTTCTGCTGGTTTTACACCTATTTCTCATTAACGGTTCAGAACTTCGTTGCTGTAGAAGTTGCTGCAAACGTGAGCGCTTACGGTACCTTGTTGTTCCAGACAATAATAATCGTGAAAGTGCTGATGAACGTGAAACTGTACCTCATCGCTAAATACCAGATTGCTCG